TCTTTATAATACCCTAACTCATGTAATGAAAACAACTGTGCTATGCTCATTTAACAGATAAGGAAACAGAGACTCAGAGAAAATGAGCTGGAGCTCTTCTCTGGAGTCAGAGATCTACAAAGTGGTGAGATGAAATTAAATGCTCCCAGACACTTGCTAATTTCTACCATCCAGGCACCCCTGAGTCCACAGCAGACCAGGCCAGGGAGCCATCAGTGAGGTACAGTCTGTGATTCCCAGATATCCCCAACATTGCCAGGCCTAGAACCCTGCCTTCTCCTTACCAGTCCAATCACCATCACACAAAACCACCGCACACTCTGCCCTCCTTTATTAGGAGTTAGGACTCTATAAGAAATGAGCAAAAGCTCCAAAGCAGATCTCCACCCAGCTGTACACATTCACCTCTTCTGTCCTGCCATTCCAGGCCCACTCTCATTCCCATCCAGATGCCCAGGGCCCTGTAGGTTTCATTTTAATCAAGGATATATCTGTGTGCTTAGGTGTCAGTGTGTGTACTTGTAGATGTGCACATATGTGTTTGTGTATGTGTACTTTGTATTTGTGTGTGTGTGTGTGTGTGAGTGTGTGTGTGCGTGTGCATGTGAGTGCATGTGTGTCTGTAAAAGTGTAGGCATTGGGGAATGGGGATAGGGGAGTGAGCAACAGTGCTGATTGGTGGAAAAGGTCTTGTGCCTTTGGCAGGGCCCAGGTTTGAATCTTCACTCCACTATTGACTAGTATCCTCTTAGACTACTTCTGAATCCTTTGCTACAGTGGTTTTCAGAGGGGTTGATTTGGGCCCATGAGGACATTTGACAGAGTGTGGAGAGTGTTTTTTTCTCAGAACAGGGAGAGTTTCTACTCACATCCAGGGGAAGGGCAGGAATGCTGCTAAGCATTCCCCAAGACACAGAACAGCCCTACACAGTAAAGCCATATGCTTCCAGATGGTCAACCGTGCCGAGCTGGGAAAACCTTTGTACCCTTGAACCCTGAAAATGAAGGTATCACAACGTCTGTACTCCCCTCACTCTCTGACCACCATCTCTCCTAGTCTCAGGACTTCATATGCCTCCAACCAGATTAAGTTTCATGAAACACAGCTTTAGCCAAACCGTTTTAATTCTGAGAAATGTATGAAATCTAAGCACCTCTGTCTGATACTCAAGGTGTCTGTAGTTTTTCTGCTACAGACTTTTCAGATCTTATTTCACATTATTCCTCTTCCTATCTGCTATGGCAAGGACACGGACAAAATTGAGCATCCCCTTTATCCAATCTTTGCTATCCCATCTCTGTCCTTTGATACTATTGACCTCCCACCAAGAATCTTCTTTCTTTTTACACCACATCAAAATCCTCACATTCTGCAAGAGGCCCCTCTGCACACCTGCCTTGCTTCCCCCCTTGGAAGTAGTGCTCCCCTCTCCAGTGCACCTGCAGCTCTCCATCTGAGTCCCTCCCACCACACACTAATTTCTCTTTTGCATCAAAGTTGTCATATTCCTGCCCCACCAGCCTTATAGCTCTCGACTGAAAGATCCAAAAATGCTCCCACTTTCTATGAGGTAGGCAGAGATGAATTATGGTTGAACAAAGGAATGAAGATGTTAATTAATGTAAAGTGTTCCTTGGAAGAAAACACAAGGAATATTAATACATTTCTAAGTTCCTGGCACAAAGTGCTCAATAAATATTCATTGAGTCCATATGTAAATTAATTGATCAACTGAATGAATTGATTGATTGCTAAGGACACCCACTACAACTCATTTGATGATTTCTTTGTCACGCTGTACATCAACTCCACTTCAGCTAATTCCGCATTAATTCTCGGAGTTTATGAATGCTCAGAATGCTGGCTGACTATCCACTGGGAAAGGCCACATGCTATGTGACACCTGCTCTTGTCACGGGTATAAGACTAGCTTTTGGAAAGCATCCACTGCATATTTTCTACACTGCTAAATTTCTTTGAACTTATAGGTAAGCCTGACCCATATCTTTATGGGAATCAAAAGGGAAGTCTCTACTGTGAAAGAGGTGAACTGCCATTTGTTTAGATTCTCCTTGGGGATGGCTTTAATGCAGGGACATATCAAACAAGGTCATGATTTATAGCCACTCTTGATGAGCAGTCAGGACTCTAAGAAGATATTGCTGCATATGCACAACTCCAGTCTGTAATTCCCTCTCCTGAGCTTTCCATGGGACGCCTTCTGAGAATGGTAATGAAATTCCCAGAGATAATAAAATTTATCCTAACAAGTCATGTAACAAAGCAGAGTCAACTCTGGGAAGAAACTCTAAATGGGTTAAATCTGGAACTGGGTGCCTTTTCTACCTTCTAAGTTACACTCACCTGCTTCAGCAAGCACATCTTTCTCCTGCCCTGTACGCTTCAATTTCCACCTGTCCTTCTCCAATGACTCGGCCACCATATCATCACACTGCTAAAACTCAAGATCTCACCAATCCACATTCTCCTCTATAATTGGAAGACACATTTACAATAAGATGTGGATGACTGATAGCTTTGGAATTCATCCAGGGTGTTTTGTTTAAAGAAAACACTTCTACTTATAAAAAAAATGCTTTTTGTTTTATTTTCAGTAAAGAATTTAGGTGGCCCTAAAGGAGATATTTGGGAGAAGGGAACCTGCAGCATTCCTTCAAACCTGACTAATACCACACTAATTTCAGAAATCTTCAAATGAATTTTTATACTCAATGTGTTAACAAACTCTCTCCATATAATTTCTCATTCCTGCCAAAGGAAATATCAGGGAATGCAAATCTCCCTGTGTTGTCTCCATTCTTAAAATCCATCATGCTAAGTAAAATAAGCTAGGCTCAGAAAATCAAAGGTCACATGCTTTCTCCTGTATGTGGAAGTCAGAGAGCAAAAAGAATGGTCAACAAATATATGAAAAAGTACTCATCATCTCTAGCAATCAGAGAAATGCAAATCAAAACTACTCTAAGATATAATCTCACCCCAGTCAGAATGGCAACTATTATGAACACAACAATAAGTGTTGGTGAGGATGTGGGGGAAAAGGCACACTCATATCTTGTGGGTAGGACTGCAAATTGGTGCAGCCAATATGGAAAGCAGTTTGGATATTCCTTGGAAATCTGGAAATGGAACCACCATTTGACCCAGTTATTCCTCTCCTCAAACTACACCCAAAGGATTTAAAAACAGCACTCTACAGGGGCACAGCCACATCAATGTTTATAGAAGCACAATTCACAATAGCTAAACTGTGGAGTCAATCTAGATGCCCTTCAGTGGATGAATGGATAAAAAAAAATGTGGCATATATACACAATGGAACATTACTCAGCAATAAAAGAGAATAAAATCATGACATTTTCACGTAAATGAATGGTGTTGGAGAAGATAATGCTAATTGAAGTTAGCCAATTCAAAAAAAAAAAAAGCCAAATCTTTTCTGTGATATAAGGAGGCTGACTCATAGTAGGGTAGGGAAGGGAAGCATGGGAGGAATAGATGAATTCTAGATAGGGAAGAAGGGAGGGAGGGAAAGGGAGAGGGCATGGGATTAGCAAGGATGGTGGAATGTGATGGACATTATTATCCAAAGTATGTATGAAGACACAAATTGGGTGTCAACCTACTTTATATACAAATAGAGATATGAAAAAATGTGATATATATATGTAATAAGAATTGTAATGCAAAAAAGAAGTACATGTGTAAAGACATGAATTGGCATGAAAATACTTTATATACAAAGATATGAAAAATTGTACTCTGTATGTGAAATAAGAATTGTAATGCATTCCACTGTATTTAAAAAAATTAAAATCAATTAAAAAAGAAAAAGAAATTTTATAGCACTGGAAGGGTGAATAATAGAATAACAGAAGTGGACCCATGTGGGAGGGATGAGGGGAGGAATGGGGGCAATACTGGGTGACAATATTGAACAAATTATGTCCGGTGCATGTGTGAATATATCACAATGAGTTCTACTTTTATGTATAATTACAGTGCACCCATAAAAATTTTAAAATTGTGTGATAAAAGTTCAAGCTTCTCAGTATAGAACTGAAGGTTCTTCTCAATGGGGCTCCCAAATCAGCACCCACAAAATTCAATCTGATATTTGGCTTTGACATGCCTAGCACCTCTTACCTCCAGGGTTTTGCATGTGCTGTGAACATTGCTTGCCATGTGTCCCACGAGCCCCTTGTGAACCCACAGCTCACTTCTCTGTAAGGTTCTGCACAACCATCCTTCTCCCTGTGCAGGACCTGAATCAACACTCACCTTAGTTCATTCAAGCTACAGTAATGGAATACCACAGGCTGGTGACCTCTGAACAACAGCATCTTGTTTCTCCCACAGCTAGAGGCTGGGAAATCCAAGATCAAGGCATCAGTCAAGTCAGTGCCTGGTGAATCCTGCCTCCTCTCGACCACACCTTACCCTATCTCTACATGACGGAAGTGGCAAGGGGTATCTTGCAAGCTTCTTTAATAAAAGCACTAATAGAACAAAGGCTTGTGTGACCTAATCACTTCTCAAAGAATACACCCTCCACATACCCTCACACTGGGGGTTATGCTTCAACATATAAACTAGGGAGGGAGCAGAAATATTTAGTCAATGGTCCACAGGTGTCCTTTCTCTCTGCCTTTTTTTCCTTCAAACCATCATGCACGTGGGCTGCACACTCTAACTACCAGGTAAGTCTTGCAAAGTCTCTCCATGATTGCCTTCCACAAGTATTCATTGCATGGATAAATGTTTGTTGAATGAGTGAATGGGGAACCAATCTAACAATTATAAAACAAACAAAAAAAATTAAAAATGAGTGAACCAGCTCAAATGGACATAGACCCTGTTTTAGAAAACTGGGCATGGGGACAACATAGCATATATCTAAAAAAGTAACCTTAATGAAACATGTTTCCTACATGGTACAGTCTCATGATTAATGCCCAAGAATTTGAAAACTCCCAGGTTCGAGTGACAATTTTTAATTTGTCTGAGTTGCTTAACATTATCAAGAACTGACATCAGGTATTCCAAAGAATCTTGGATATGATACTAAGAAGGAGTTGAAAGTGAAGGTATGTGAGATACGGAAGAGATAAAAAGGTTTGGGGAGAAAGTGTCAGAAAATTTTAGAGAAAAACATTACTCTAAAATGAGCATGTCATGATTACAGACGGCTGAAACCCTTGGATGATCTTGTAAAATCATTAACTTCTAATTAATGTTGGATTAGGCTTGCCACAGTGTTATGCACCCCAAAGTGTTTCTTCTCAGATTAGAAATGCCCAGTCCCCTCCTGCTGGTCTCACAGATGCTTGTCATCGACGCCTCGGTTCTTTTTTGAGATGTGAATTCATAAAGCTTCCAAGTCTCAGACAAGTGTTGAAAACTCATTACCCAAATGCTACCTCTGAGATCAACAAAGTGGCTAGGTTCTTGGATGGTCTGACCTTCAGGGATGGGCTAATGACTTCCCACTCTCTTTGGGAGAGCTGCTGCAGGGAAGGGCTGAGATGACAGCTGGTCACAGGCTGTCTGTATTTCTGCCTGGGACTACTCCAGGAAGCACCTTAAAGTCAAACAATAATCGTTTCCCAAGGTAAGTTAACCAAGCACTTTTTTCCTAAATTATCCTGTTTGATCTTTACAACTTTGAAAGTTGACTATTATAACAACATTCACGATGAGGACACAGAGGTTCAGAAAAGTTGATGCAAAGCTGTGGGTTCAAGTCTGGACATCACTCCAAAATCTGGGTTGTTTTTGTTTCAGTCAATCTCCTGGAGAGCCAGGTAGGGGGCATGGATCCAACTCTTCTCTTGTCTCACCCCCCACCTGCCAAAAGCAATAAGGAGATCAGTTATATTTCTTTAACTTTCTCTATTACTCAATCCCTAATGTGAATGTTTCTAGCTTGTTCCAGTCTTTCCCTCATGTAGGGACAAAACACTGTATATAGCTCTTTTTTTTTTTTATCAATCGGGTGCTCCAGAGAAACAGAAACAGTTGAAATCACATAGATGTATAAGACAATATCTTTCATGGGAATTGTCTCACAATTTTGGAGAACAACACCACCTACAATATGCTACCTGCAAGCTGATGAACCCAAAAGCCATAGTCTAATCCAGTCTAAGTCCAAAGACCTGAGAATTGTGTATGTCTGTGTTTGTGAGTGAGTGGCAATGGAGTTGCTGGTCTAAGTCCCAAATTTCAAAGTCTCAGGAACAAGGAGTTTTCATGTTCAAGGCAGGAGAAGATGGACGTCCCAACACCAGAAAAGACAGAGTATGCCCTTCCCCGACCTTCAGTATGATAGAGATCCGAGCCAAACTGGAGAAGGCACATCTTCTTTACTCAGTCTACTCAGAAGAGATGGATCTGTGCCCCCTACCTGGCTCTCCAGGAGGTTGGATGAAATAAAAACAACCTAGATTTTGGAGTGATGTCCAGGCTTGAATCCACAGCTCTGCAACACCTGCCAGTCTCTCCCAGAAATATCCTCACAGATAAATACAAAAGTAATGTTTTACCAGCTATCTGGGATTCTCTTAGCCTAGTCAAGTTGGTACTTGAAATTAACCATCACACCATCTTCTTCAGTTTACCCCATTTCCAACTCCCCTCCAAGTCCAGTCTATAGTTTCCAGTTCTCTTCTGGACCGCTTCACTGGTGTTTGTGGGGGCTCTGGCTTCCTTGTAAATGATATGTTCTTGGTACTGTTAAGCTTTTCCTTATACCATGCATTCCCTTCACAGTTTTTATCCTTTAAGATAGGATGTGCATGTCTTATGTCCCCCTGGCTTACAAGAATGATCCCTAACCCATAGTATTGTCATTTCTCGTTTCTTAGTCTTATGCCACATTTAGGCTGTAATACCTCAAGACTCATGGCTCTTTTCTGTGTTCTGTGGAACACTGAGTACTTGGAAAAGTCTCTTGAACAAAATAAATGTTCAATAACATTGGTTGAATGAATGAATGAATCCAACCAGTACCTTTTACACTGATTTCATTCTATGATCTATTTTACCTGCCAATTTCTATATTATAAAAAAATCACAAATCTCATGTATCTGAATAAAAGTGCACTAACTGGTTTTTGAGGGTTCTCCATTTATCCCAAGGAAAATCAAACTGTACTAATAAAGTTGTCCTCTTTTGCCCCATCACCCCTATTTCTACCCCCTTCATCTAATGCACTGCTGTGCCATCACCTCTTTTCTTAACCCCACAGTCCCTGTATTTTTCTATCTAGCCCCCTATAGCCCCCTAGTGTTTTAGGCAAAGGGTCACCTCCATTTTAATCAGTGGCTAATCTTCCCATTCTTATTCTCACCTCTTCTGTAGTATCTGCTTTCCTTGTTCCATATTTTCCTTGTGTTCTTATGGGTTCCTTCCCATCTGTCTACAAATATTCTTCACTGGATCTGCTTCCCCTTAATTTCACATTCCCTAGCTCTGTTTCACCATTTCCTTTCTTGGATAGGTCTATCCTCCATTGAGAAACTCTTCTTTTCTTACCCAGCCTAAATTCCCATCCCTTTCTACCATATTGCTTGGTCAGGTTCTCTCCTCTCACCTCATACTTGTTGTGTTATACCTCCAATACCACACTCATTCCTCAAGAACAGTTCATCTTTGTATGCACAACTCCACTGTAACTGTTCCCAAAATACATTATAGAAAGGAGATGAGCTTCTCACAGCCCCTATCAGGGCTTACTGCTCTTTCCTGGGGAGGTTTCATCTGCTATCCATCTTAAAGGTTATTGCCAATCCAGGCTTCTACATGTGCATCTCTGAGTGCATTATTTTTCTGTTTAAAAACTGTCATTTTTACAGGGTATGGTGATGCCTGATCCCAGCTATTTGGGGGGCTAAGGCAGGAAGATTGCAAATTTGAGGCCAACTGGGGCACATAGCAAAACCCCATCTCAAAAATAAAATAAGAAGGGTAGGGATAGAGCTCAGAGGTTGAAGGTACCTGGGTAAATCCCTAGTACAAAAAAAAAATAAAAATAAATAAATAAACCTGGGATCAGTACCACGCACTCTCTAGAGGCCAACATTAAGTACATATTTCCTGACTTGAATCTCAAGATTCCCCAAAATTACCCTTCCCAACTTACTGCTTCTGTACAAGGGGAAAAATAACATTAGTGTTATGTGATGAAACAACTTCATTTAGATAGATATAACTGTTTGTTTTTGTAAGCCTTCTTTAATGTGAATTTTCAACTTCATGTCAAAGGTCTCTTGTAACATGCTCACTGGAAAAGTCCTACAAAGACTGCCACCAAGACATGCTGAGAGTCTCCAGTCCTTGTGCAGATGTGGGATATTTTTAGGCATGCACAAACAGACTCACAGCGGAAAATGCCCACCTTAGTTAGTGCATCTTTCTCATCTCTAAGTGGTACAAGTGTCTCTCGGTGGGAGATGCCATCTTGCTGCCACTGCTTATAGCAGGCTGCCCCTCCTGTGGAGAAAGAAACGGAGAGAACAAAGTTCGACACCTGGATACAGGGGAAAAAAAGAAAGAAAAAAAAAGCAATAGCTAATTATTGTAAGCCTCTCCTCTACCTGGTCTTCCCTTTATTAATGTGGGCGCTTAGTCAATGCTGGCTTGCTAATCTCTGGCTTCATTATAAACATAATTCAAATTCCATATCAACTAAGTCTATTCAAAATTTCAAGAATGTTGACACATTAATCCACTTAATCAATTACAGAAGGAAAGAAAAAATGTATTTTTATGGAGAGCAGTGACAGGGTTGGCAAAACTGTGGCTTTGAAAATGAAGACAGAGTTTCAGGCAGAATTAATGTCTGCTATTCTCCAAGGAAATACCACACTTACTATGTAATGACATCAGCATCAATGGAGGACAATTTGAATATCCAACATTATGGTAAGGTGAAACACTCTCCTTCCCACCCATCTTTACCAAAGTGTCCTACATTTCCAGCAATTTCTTTTAAGGGGTGGGGGAGTGATTCTCTTTGCCTCCTCCCTTTTCCTGCTGGCAAAAATGTTGATGGAATGACCACAGCCCAGCACTCAGAACATTTTAGGAAAGTTCTTACTGCACTGAAGATTATGTTAAGTGAGCCTCAATGTATTAAGTACCTAAACCCATCAGGCACAATCAATTTGATTAATTTGACATCAACTGAATGTTCTGTGTGATGTTAAACAAACCAGAGACAAAGTAGGTGTGATTTGTAAAGGGAACTCTGGCCACAACTAGAGATTTCCCTAAATTACTGACAAGCCTGAGCACATGATCAGATTATCTTTCCCTGAACAAAACCATTTGACCACAATCTCTACATTTTAAGTAGTAAATATGACATATCTTGCCCTCATGTACTTAAGCAAACTTGTAGAATGAGTGCTAGGTTTCTAAATGCCAAAAAAAAAAAGAAAGAAAGAAAGAAAGAGAGAGAGAAAGAAATTTATACAAGAAAATAATCTGTGAAAATTAGTCTGTCATTTGAAGTTAATAAATGTGATAAAATAAATAATGTCTTTATTGTAAGACTAACCCACTAACACAAAAAAGCTGAAATATTGTGCATTCCTATGGTGCACAAAAGCTGCCTCTTGGTGAGTCTTTAACTTGACTGCCTAATAAGGACTCCTGAATTTGTGAGGTTTGTCTGTCAGAAATACAAAGTAAATGTAATAAGTGAGAGGTGGGTCATTTGTGTTTCTTTTCCTTTTGGGGAGAGGTGGAACAGACAAATGAAACAGCTTCACAAAATCATGGAGGACATACACTCCTCCCATTTTTTCTACTCTTCATCCTCAGAAGTACCTTTTATCACATGGTGCAAGACAATTGCTTGAATTCTAGCCATCGCGACTGCATTCTCGGCATTTGAAAGGATGTTTTTAATCTCTTTTTTCAGAACTTAGTCACTTTCCACACTTAACTGAACGGGTGAATGGGAAACTTAGTCTTTGCGCCACATGCCTGGTTTAAAAAGAGTGGGGAGAGAGGTAGGCTCTGTCACTAAGAATGGATAAACAGGTATATATATATAACTAGTAAGTCTATGACAGCTTCCATTAAATATCATGCCTTATTTTTCATGGCATATATAGACCTATTCCATACTTGTCTTATGTCAATAGCTTATCTGAGTTAGGAAGTCAGAAAGTTCCCTTGGTCCCCCTCCATGTGGGTGGTGGAGGAAGGAGTGGCAGTGGGACAACTTGGCCGTGGAAGAAGCACAATCTGTCAGAGAATGAGGGTGCAGGCAGGATGCATGCAGCCAACAACTCCCAGAAGCACTCACCCACCTCCAAATCCACAATTCACACCTATGTTGAAACGAAGGTTAAGCTGTCTGGTCCAAATAAATTGTCTTAAGCAATATGTTTATGAAGAATTATAGATCTACTTGTTAGAGGACTAGTTTTTAATTGCATGAAGGCATTCCATTCTTATTTCTTCATTTCTGTTATCTTTGGTCCTCATTTTCCCATTTTCTAGTGGGAAAAAAAAGCTAAAAAGACATGTGGTCATGTCTAAATCTGATATTTTCTCTTTTATCACATGAACACACACACACATGCAGACACATGTACATTCATGCACATACTCACCACACATATAAACACATAACACATGCAACACATACACACGAGAAAATACGTATGCTGTACTTGAGAAGTCAGAAAAAGTCTTAAGAAGATTCACTATTAATACCCCTTGTATTATCAATGGGGAGTTGTATCTGCTATATATTCTAAATAATGCTTAAGTTATTTCTCTGCACACATATTCCTGAGGGCCTAAGATGAACATAAATGCATCAAAGTGTCCTGTTTTCCTTGTGTACTAACTCAACAGAAGCTTGTGGGGAAAAAAAAACATGGGAAGAAAGGCATGAGGGCATCACAATCAAGCCAAGGCTACACCTCCTATCCCTGCTGTCCCTGGTGGTCTGGAGACTTTCCATTTCTAGACCTCAGTCTCCTCATGTTCAAAATCAGAGGACTGGACTACATCATAAGGTCACTGCTGTCAAGTCACTAACTTGTGTCCTCACCCCTGATTCATATATTGAAGTCTAAACCTGTGACTGTATTCAGATATAGAACCTTCAAAGCATCAGTGCTAAATGAGATCATAGCAGTAGAACCCTAATCCAGTGTAACTAGTGTCCTTATCAGAAGAGGAAGAGACAGCAGGAGAGTTTGCACAGAGAAAAGGTCATGTGAGCACACAGCAAAAAGACAGTTACTTGCAAGCCAAGGAGAGTGACTTCAGAGGAATCCAACCCTGTGTACACCTTGAACTTGATGGTTCAGCCTCCAGCACTGTAAGAAATAAGTTTTTGCATTTAAGTCACCCTTTATTGTAGCAACTCAAACTCATACAGTCACTTCTAATATTGTTAGATTCCAGTACTATGCACACAAAATATCTTTATATGAAAAGATCAAACTACATGAACATGAATTTAAGTCAATATCACACAAATAATAGGAGTATTTTTAAAAACCCTACAAAGCAATCATGAGCTCCCAGAAGTTTAATGGAATTAAAGTGACAGCTTCTTTGAAAAAACACTTTCATAAAGTGTTTTTACATAAATTATTTCATCTCATCAACTAAGGAATGGGGAAATAAAAATTAAGATGGCTGCAGTTTGGTCAAGACAGCAGATTGTTCTGTGGGCCTCAGGGATCACACTGGACAGGCTGGAGTCTGCCTCACAGACATAAGTTCATCAGCATTTAAGTTGCATAAACCATAGGCTTCCACTGACTTAAGGACTATTCCAGAAGAGTCTCTGCCTACTCATATCCTCCCACCCATCACCTACCTCCACCCCACCTCCTACACAACCACCTCCTGGCAACCCATCAAGTACAGCATACATATGAGCAGAGACCAGCACCAATTTAACTTATCCAAAACTACTTGTCCAACTACCAGGGCCAATCAAAAGCCACTCAGAAGATGTCACTCCACCTCATTCCATTGTCCTCCTTTGTTTCCTTTAGAAACCCAGTTCCCCTTCCCCTGGAGGGACAACTTGCTTGGTTTTTAACTGAATCTATATCTTCTACCAGAACAAACACTGTCTTTGCTTTCATTTTAAGCTTGTTTATGATTTCTCAGTTTACTATAAGTAGAAAATACAGTAGGGTCACAAAATTACCCCCAGATCTAGGCCTTCTATAACACATGGATTTCTCCTTTCTCTAAATCATGAATGAAAAAAAAAATCTTCTAAATAAGTTAAAATGGTAATATGTCAACAAGGAGCCACCGGAAGGTATTTAAAGGTAACTGTTGATTTTCACTCCACCAAGAAACACCTCTTTTGTAAATGTTGTCTGTGGAGCATTGTATCAGCATGGCAGGAGAAGTGCAGACATACAACTCTTCCTTTCTGTGGCCAGGAAGATTATGATCAGGAAAATAAGAAACTGATGAAATATATTAAAAAATGATAGAAAATGTGACATAAAAATGTGTTGTCCAAAACAAATGATAAAAGAAAAAAACAGAACCAGAATGAAAAATAACTGCTATGGAGGAAAGAAGAGATTTCTGCTGTAATCTCTGGGAGAGAAAACAAAAATCTGACTTTTAAACAATCCAGCGCCTCCAAATGAGGATAGGAAGGCTAGCAGGAAGGTTACCTCAGGTGGGTGGGAAATTGTTAATCTGACCAAGGGCTGCTGGGAGTTCTTTGATGTGTTTTTCCTGGGCTCCAGTAATGACAACTCTATGTTTGCTGTGCTCCTACTATGTTTATTACTTTAAACATTTACCATCACCTGTCTTCGGTCAGCTTAACAACCAGGGTATCGCTGTGCCTTAACCAATTACCTACATTTAACTCATCATCTGTACATGGTTACAACATTCAACACTATGGGTTTTCTAAGATGGCCCTAGAGGAGTGAGAATCACTTGCTTGGAGCAAATTTTGTGACCCCACTATATTTTCTATGATAGCAAGAAGACATGTCTCAAAGTTTTAGCCACCTAATATCAGTGCTTCTTTGAGATACATGACCCACATTTGGTTCTTAAACCAACCTCACTCTCCATCTGAGAATTTGGAAGTTTTCTCAACACTTACCCAACTGTTTGATCTGAACTTGGCATCAACTCTTATCTATGATTTTGGCCTTTTCTACCAATAGTGCATTATTTATCCCACTGCCTGCACACACTTTTGCACTTCTAACTTCAGACAGAGCAATCCACCTGACCACACCCTCCTGTATCAAGCCTACAAGGTTCCAATCATATTTCTGCGAATTCTTGTCTTGTGCTACATAGACTGATTCTTGGTATTGACTTCTGCTAAATAGCCAAAATACTTTATAACCAGCTAACACAAAAATCTTGCATCAGTAAAATATCACCACTAAAGTCAGTTAGCTGGTAGAACTTCTGATATTCCCATGAATCCTAAAGCCTCCCTTGGCTGGATTCCAGAGTACATGCTAATTTGCATGGCTAAAATAAGGGGATCCATTTATTGAAGCAATGAAGCTGAGCATTAGATTATAATAATTAACTCTTTGAAAATAATTATTAAACTTTAGTTCAAATTTATCAGTCACCAGGGAGTAGTTGGCTCCTGATTGCCATCTCAAAATATTGGTAAGAAGGAGTTTCTAAATACAAGTAATGAAATCCATTTTTTTTCATTTAGTTTTATCATAATGCTATTATTGGAGGAGCTTAACAAGATCTCATTATTAATTACAGTCCCACAGATACAGTCCACACAACTTCACTCTTCAGTGACCATTTCCTTATCTAGAGAGAGGAATCCAACTGTCATAATAACCTAGTTATTATAATATTTGACTGATATGGAAGGCAGGAAAATTAATAGAAATTTACTGAGAATCTGGAAGTTTGGCTGCATAATGGTACAGGTGTCTTGTAACTATGGGTATTGGCAGTGATAGGATGCTCTTACTTTCAGACTACAAAAGTATTTCAAAATAAGTTAGAATGATTGACATGTTCTCAGTTTGCAAAGTTTCTTAATTCTTAACATCTCTTCCAACTTCTGCCAGCTTATGTTTCCTCCTATTTTCAGTCTCTCTCTCATATCATTTTTACTCTCTCTCTAAAAATGATTTAAAACCTTTCCAAATAATATAAAATTATCTCTGCAGAGTATTCACAGCAATGTAAAAACAGAAAGAAAAAACTAAAGCAAATACACTAATATTAATTATAGTGGGTCATAGGTAGAGTTTTCTTCTTATTTTCCAAATTGTCTATAATCAGTAAATATCACTTTTGCAATAATAAAATAATATAATATTGATAATAATCATAAACCCAATAATATAGTGGAAAATGCATGAGCTCAGGAGTCAAATAAACCTAATTTAAATTTTTTGCCATGAGACTCTTGTGGACAAGTCCAATAAGGCCTTTTCATTAAATTCCTTATATATTTCTTCCCAGAGCTGTTCTGAGAACTAAGCAAAATAACCTCTATAAAGTTCTTTACATTTTATGCAGCACTTCCCTATATAATAAAATCTTCGTTGCAATGACAGAAGAGACCTATCTGAAAATTAAGCTCAAACACCTTTCTGTATAAAAAATATATATATATACCTTTGTTTCTATTTTGAGAAAGATCCAAAACCAGAAACTTTCTCTACACCAGTTGCATGGTAATGACTGAGCACCAGCCAGTGACAAGCAGATGTGAATGTTACTGGCTTTCATCCATGAGGAAGGTTTCAGCTTTTCCTACCTGGCTCCAGGATAATAATTACACCCTTCAACTGTATGTCTAGTTTCTCAAAAGCCTGGTGAGAATAAAATGCCCCCCAAACTAGCAAAGTCACATGTTTGTGGTACATTTTGCCATAAAACTAAAGTCCAGAGTTTCCTTGCTGCCGAACAGAACAGAAGCAACCTGTGAATCATCTCTCCAATTCTGCAAAGTGGGAGG